CTGGAGGGAGAAGATGAAGACTTACACCTTTCCCACGGGTATTTACACATAAGTGAATTTATGGATTGCGACTAAAATTTGAACTCGGATCTCTGATTTCTCAATCCAAACCGCTATCCATTACTCTCTGTCTCTCTCTGTCTCTCTCTCTCACTCATATATATATATATATATATATATATATATATATATATATATATATATATATATATATATATATATATATATATTTCCTTCTTCGCTTAAGTCTTTTTTAGAAGTGGTTGTAACAAATTTTGTTTTAGAAGTATGTCGCATATTTGAGATGAGATAAATTATTTTCAGTTGAAGTTGCAACAGATTTTCCTTACATACTTCTGGCATATAAAAATTATATATTATTTTCTTTCTCTCTCTCTCTCTCTCTCTATCACACACACGCACACACACACACACACACACATATATATATATATATATATATATATATATATATATATATATATATATATATATATATAAATAAAGAACAGTAAGATATATAATCCAGTGTTCTTATAGATATTTTTTATTTTTACAAAATAGTGCTCAATGTAAATTACAGAGCATTAATATTATAAATTAATTGATTTAAAATATATTTTTTTCACTTACACAGTTCTAACCATGTTTCAAAAATTTTTGAAACATGGTTAGAACTGTGTAGCGGAAAAAACATATTTTAAATCAATTAATTTATAATACCTATATATATATATAGAAAAAAATAACAATACGCTAAAGAAACCGGGGAATGATTCCGAATGAAGAACAAGATAAGAAAATTAAAAGAGTTAGCACGTGATGAAAGAGAACTGCAAAAACCTTAGGAAAGAGAAAGAGAAACATTATGCTTTTCAAAGAGGAAAAAAAGAATGAAACAGAAGAGGGCGGGAAATACATGCTTATGAATACAGTCTTGTGAATATTATATTTTCATGCAGATGGTCTGCTGGTGGTGTATTTGGTTTGCGACACGGATAGAGAAATCGGATTGTCGAGTTCTGTACATTTATTTTACCTGAAATATGTTTGGGAAAGGTATGAATCCATCTTTTCGCAAAAAATACATACCATTTAACCAAAAAAAAAAAATAACATGGTGTTCATATTGACTCTATAATCCCGATTATGTTAGATACATAGATGTATAGTATACTTTCCTTTAATAACAAGAAAAATAAGCGAAACAATTATAGTTTTTTTTTTTGTTACAATGATGTTCACTCTATGCAAGGACTAAATTCCACACGAGGTAAAAGGTTAGCGAATAAGAGGCATAATTCATATGGATATGTCAGAAAGATAAGTGTTGACACTAGATTTGAAATAGTTAAGATGGTAGTGATCAGTGGGGGGGGATCTTCTTGGGAATCGGTTCCACTGACCAACAGTTTTTGGGAAACCGTTCCTGGAGTAGAATTTACAGCTTACCAATAGAAAAAAAACAGATCCATGATCGTTTGTGTTATGGTCCAAGGTTAGGACCATGGAAGAACAACACGAAACACAACAGTAGAAATAACAAAGAATATATTACACAAGAAATAATACAAGAAGTGAAAAGTTTAGCAAGACAGTCAGACTGGTTTGGCGTGACTACTATCAGCTCGACTCGATTCACTACCGTCCCAATACCGAATCCATTCGTCTCTCTTGAGAGGGGTAGTATGTATAGCGTTCGGAAGAGTACATTCCGTCGGTCTAGATAGGCCCCAGGACAGTTTGCTACAATGTGCGTGGCATAATGAATTTTATTCCTGAATGTTATAACGAGTGGAACTAAGGAATGTAGATCATCTGATCAATTTCTATAGAAATAGCAACAGAGCGAGCGAGAGTTTTGCGACAGTCTAGGATTTCCTTACCCACATGAAAGCAGAGATGCTATTAGACTCTATCAAGACTGAAAAGTTAGGACTGGACAGCTCGGTCTGATCTGGTTCTTGTAAAGGTACTTACTGGCGTGCTACATGGAACCGATCATTTTTTGAACATCTTTAGAGACAGTTCGTATGTATGACTTCCATTTCAGGTCTGAGTTAAGTAAGTCCCAATAGGCGCACAAGAAACGGAACATCTCTGATGGAACCTCCGTTTATCACGATTGGCAAAGGTTCTGCACTTGATTGGCGATGATAGAACGTCTCTAGTTTGATTTTCGAGACATTGAATGTTACGAGCCTGTTTTCCCCCACTGAGCTGTTAGAGCTAAGCCAGACTAGAGATCAGTATCCAAACTCTGGTTCTCTCGAGGTTTCGGGGCGCACTCATATACCGTTCTATCATCAGCATAGATATTCACAAATGACCAGTGTATACTCGTTGAATTGTAAAGAGCATTTCCATTTATGATTAGTAAATATGATTTTAATTTAATAACTATATCAACTGACAAATAGAAATTAATACAGAATTCGAAACGTTTATAAATTACTAGCAGCTTGGCCCGGCATTGCCCGTGCTTGATTCAAAAATCGTACAGCAATCGCTATCACTTGACTTAGAATTATTTTGCCCTTCCTTGCCTTTAAAGGATTGCCTTTTGTCGTGCTGATGTTGCTACATGCCTTACGTCTTGCTTATCTCACACTGCGAAGTTTTTCTAAGCTCTATACTAAACATTAAATCTGTTACGAAAAAAGAACTAAACAAAATGAACACAAAACGATCAGCTTTAAAAAAGGACTCGTAACTGGAAAAACCGAATGAAAAAAGAATGTTAACAACATTAACTTTTTCACACCTAACCCAGTTTTGCAGAATCAGAATCAATGTTGAGTTTAAGCAAGCGAATGAGCCAATTGGAGTAAAGTGCCATGCAGATTTAAATTTTTCCCACTTGTGACGAATGCAGATATCTTTGTTTTGCATGCTAGCATGCTAGTTAACATTCGTGTCAGTCAGCTGTTGGCTCTCACGCTGGCCAATAGAATCTTCCTGCCTATTCGTGGCAGCCAGCTATAGGCTCTCACTCACTGGGGTTCTGTCTGACACAAAAAAATGAATGATTTTAATTACTCGAGGACAACGGTCGAAACGTCGTGAATATGGCAGTAAAGACGAGGACAACAGCCTGAACAATGTAAATATGTAAATTATTAAAATACCTAATCTCAGAAATATAGACATATCCTGAAGAAGGACGGAGCGTACAACATCCGAAACGTCGTGAATATGACAATAAAGATGAGGACAACTGTTTGAACAATGAAAATAGTGTAAATACACACAATACCTCATCTCAGAAATACAGACACATCCTGAAAATGGCCGGAGCGTACAAGAGCCAAAACGTCGTGAATATGACAAGAAAGATAGGGACAACAGTTCGAACAATGTAAATAGTGTAAATAATTAAAATACCTCATCTCAGAAATGTAGAAAGATCCTGAAGATGGCCAGAGCGTACAACGGCCGAAACGTCGTGAATACGACAAGAAAGATGAGGACAACAGTTCGAACAATGTCAATAGTGTAAATAATTAAAATACCTCATCTCAGAAATATAGACATATCCTGAAGATGGCCGGAGCGTACAACGACCGAAACGTCGTGAATATGACAAGAAAGATGAGGACAACAGTGTAAATAACCTGAAGATGTGTTATGGGAAATGTGCGGATAACTTTTGACTTACCCTCGTAAAAGTTGCCGGAAAATTGATGGTGCACATGTATATGAAGATGAAAAAACTTTACGTACATTGATCTTATTAAGTACCACGTTAAAGGGGGACTGATATATTAATAAAAATGATTAAATTCAATAAAAATAAAAATAAATGAAAGCGATTAACTTAGTAACAAGATAAAAACTAGAGTTGTTAGCATGTCTTATCTTGCATGCAATTGGAAATTAATTTCTAATCTCAGCCATTCTCTGGCTTGTTTGTTTTGCCATTGACGACTGATAGTGATCATTATGATAGCCTCTTCTTCTTCTTCCCCTCAACACAAATCTCCTCATGGTAAGCACAATGAAAAGAAATACGTGTACACCAGTAAACAAATGCTAACGGTTTCTTTTCTCTCATTCTCGCTTGTGGAACTCCCTTCCGGTTTTATTTTCTTTTTTCATCCAACTTTAATCTTCAAAAATTTAAATGCAATGTCAATCGCTATCTACTCTCCTCGTGATTGTTATTCTTTTATTCTCGCTCCTTAATAATATTTCTGTTACTTATTCTTCCACACTCAGCAACCCCTTTGTGTCGTAGAGGCTTTAGTGTCTTCCTTGGGGTGAAATCGATTTTAAAAAAAGAAAAAGGAAAAAGTTCATAAGAATATTAACTTCTTTTGCATTTTGCTTCATCCCGTAAGTGATTTGATTTTAAGAGTACAAAATGAAATGCTATTTGAATCTAAATATAAAATGTCTTACGTTTTAATTTCCAAGAGAATTCTATGATAGGATTTAAAATCTGTGTGTTTTTGACGTGAGAGAGTAATTCTGCATTTATTTGTTCCATAGTTAACTGTCAAAAAAATAATCGGCTAATCAGTTAATACTTAAAGCTCTTTGCCAATTGCATGCTGCATTTGACAACAGGAATACTCTCCAGCATTTTCGTTCGAGATGTTAAGCCCTGATCATATAGCTACCTCCAAAGACAGCACTTAATGGAAAAGATACGGAAAAAACAAAAAAGCATTCTATTAACTTAGCTTAAAACATACCTTACCCAACTTTCTCATTCATTTTGTTAATATGACTGCATTTGAATATTATTTTTCCCCTGTTACGCCTCGCTGTTCTTTTTTTCCGTTGCCATGATATTTATATTATTATCAAAGCTAAAAGAGTATAAACATTTTGCAATTCACAGAACTTCCAAATGCGGGCTTACAGCGACATGATGATGAAAAGCCGGAACCCGTACGATCACCGTTTTTAGGCAACGTCCAGCATGGTTCAGTGCCTAGATGGCCGACTTCTTAGAAATACCAGATATTTTGTACCTGCAAGAGTTGTAATCAGGTTACAGCCATATCAGGATGAAACACCGGTACTCGTATGATCACCGAAGTTAATCAAGGTGGAACCTGGTCACTACCTAGATCTGTGACCTCTTAGGAATACCAGATGCTGTAAGCTTGGATGTACGGGTGATGTAATGTGCTTACGGCCATATCGTAATGAAACAGTGATCCCCGAACAGTCGCCGAAGTTAAGCAACGTCGAGGCAGGTCAGTATCTAAATGGGTGAGCACTCTAGGCCTGGGTGTGCGTCTAGTGTAACGATATCGTTTTGGAATTATTAACTAGCGAACCGAGTTCCAATTCAAGATGCTGTAAGCGTGGATGTGCGGGTGACGTAATGGATAATGGCTCGGAATTGTTAATTGGAGAGCCGAGTTCCAATTCCCGTTGGGCTCTTTATATTCATTTACGCAAATATTTCGGGGAAAGTTAAGAATCCATCTCTTCTCATCCCAGTTAACCAATAATCATGTATCGTCTTCTTTATATACTGTATCTTCTCATGAAGAAGGCTTTCATGGCTCTCCACAACTTCTTGTCCATCATATAACTTAATATACTTTGTTTTTCTGTCATTTCTCCTAAATCCTTTTCCGCCATACATTTAGTTAGGCTCATTAATTATGTTATGTGTTGCTTTCTTCTGTGTCTTTTGCTGTCTGTGTGTCGTGTAAGCCAAGCCCTCCTTCCTATTTATGTACCCCAGAAACATCAACTGTCTCTTCCTGGTGTTATCTAAAGGGTGTCTCATTAAGACGGATTCTATTTAAAGGCGTTGGGTACATCGAGACGGTGTAATGATTAGCAAACTTCTCACGCTAGAACAATTACAACTGAGTAGTGAGTTCGATCCTCACTGGGCCCACCTACATTCGGCCTTGTGCCACATCTAAGCTACGCTTGGAAAATCACTGTATATAAGGGTGTTTCATTAAGACGGACCAAAGTCAGCCGTAAATAAATCCTTATTATTGATGGAAATCTATTTATTTCTCTATTGGATCATGTTATTTAAGCCATGGCAATTATGTGTGGAAAATAATATCGCCCAAATGTCCGCCAAATCTGAAAGAAAAAGAAACAAATTCATTAGACGCTTAAATTTAATTCACAATTAAAATCGGTCCAAGTTATTTCCACACCCTTTAAAAGTTTTCTTTTTGTTTCCATTTCCTCTAAAACTTAGTCGTTAATCACACGTTCAGTTCATGATATCTTCTGTAGAACCACTGTTGCTTTAATTTTCTTCTTCATCTTCTTCATCTTTAGGAGGAGATTGTCCCGCATTCGAAATTTTCTGCAATATAGGAGGCATTTTCCTTATCTGTTACAGTTTTCCTTCCTCTCACAGATCTTTAAATTTCCGTACCTGCTTCATTTTGGCAGCTCCGATTTGCAATTTGCACTTTCAAAGCACCCTTTTATGGTGTTTAAATACCTGAACACAAGAAATATAAAAAAAATATAAGGACTCTATCATTAATCTATCTCTTATCTTTCTTAACGATCCCACCCAGGATAACTATCAGATCATTAGTTAATATATAGAGAGATGATATTATGGAATCCTCCACATTTGTCTGTCAGCCCCTACAGGAAGATGCACTCTTCCCCAAATAAACATTTAACCATTCATCACTTTACTTTTCCAAACTCAATCCCCCATTGGTTAAAAGGACACTAAAATGTAGCAAAGTTGAGACAAACCTTTTATCCGCGCAGGTCTCTGGAGCCTATTTGCAAACTCGAAAATCTATAAAAAGAATCGCTCGACTTAATTCAAGTCAGTCAGATACTGAGTTTCGAGAGATACCAGCAGACCCCACGCGTTCCGACACACTGACTCAATAACAACTACCAACCTCTCAACAACTCAACACAACTCGCACAACTATTGCCGCGTGTAGAAACCTAACTTACAATTTACTAAAAAGTGACATTATCGCTACAAAACAGTAACTGTACATTCAATCAACTTTAGCCTATCAGTTAAAGGCGAAAAACTCTTCATAACTTAAATAAACACTAGCAGTTGTCACACACATACACATTATCACTTGAATTTACACAATTGACAATTTTCCTTGCAGATATCAAACTTTTTAATTCCACAAACAAAATTAAACTATCAATCGTTACTCATTAAATTTCTGCATGGACAATCTTAGTACCTTATCTCACTTGCCACATTTAACAAGTAACTTATTATCACATTGTTTATGTTATTGTTGAAATCTCTAATGACGTTGTTTTCAGTAATTTCTTGAAGTTGAATTGTATATTTATTTTTGTTTCATTTATTTGTTGTGGATAAATGCATTACGATCACGCACATTCTTGGCCTTCACAAAAAATCACCTTCTGATACATCTTACTCAGCAGAGATTCCGCAACAATATCATAGTTGAAAAATACGTCTTTGCCGTTAATGTGAACTCGCGATCTCGACAAATTAACACTGTCGTGATCTCACGATGACGAGAAATAATAATAAAAAAATACCCAATTCCCCATGATTCCCTAGTATAAAAAGGAAATCGTCCTACTGGCGGGAAATTTAGAATATGACTTCTTTCACCAATCTTTCACCATGAACGGACGTGGACTTGGGCGGCTCCTAGAATGAAAATAAAGATACGTTCTCAAATATCACTTTGTCATGTTTAATATGCTCTTCTAATTATAGACATCACTTTCAAAATAATTCATTCATCCACGAACATAAAAACAAAGATTAGAAACATTTAGCAATTTAAAAATTTAACAATTCTGTTGCTTCAAGTCTCTTCTTCATCTTTGAGGAGATTATCTAGCACTCAGAGCCATACATATATCATGTAGAAGATTAGTACTTTTTTCCTTGTTTCTAGTGATTTTTTTTTCTTTATTAGTAATCTGCTTAGTTTTTGAAAGGCATCTTTAGTTATCTCAATGCACCTTCGGATTTCAGTGTCACATGGTATCATCAGCATCTTTCTGTAGAACCACATTCCTCTTGCATCACGCCGCGTCTTCATCGTTGAGGAAATTACCCAACATTCTCTGCCATATATGAGGACAGATATCACGTAACAATTCAATTCTCTTTTCTCTGTTTCTAACAAAGTTTTTTTTCTATTTCTTAATACTCTGCTTAGCTTGTGGAATGCATATTTGGTCATCCCAATTCGTCTACTGATTTTTATGTCGCACTTGCCGTACTCTGTTAGAAGAGATCGCAGATATTTAAATTTATGCATTTGTTTGATTTTGGTATCTCCGATTTGCAATTCGCGCTTTGCTAACAACCATGTATTCTGTCTTCTTTAATCCCTTCTTGCTTTTCTTCACTACCTTCTGTGGGGCATTTTGTATCTTTCTTTGTGTCTACTGACAACACAGTGCCATCTGCATGCCTTATGTTGTGAAGATTGTGGCCGCCAATAATGAATCCTTGTAGGACTTCTAGCTCTCTCACTAAACCATTATCCCCAAAATAAAAATTCTTACAAAAAATATAAATATATATAAAAAAAATTGGCTTTAAATAACCTGCTGTTGTTCATGATGACGGTCGTCTTCGAGTATAGAATCCAGAGGTTAGTAGTGAATATTTCGAAGACAGTAGGAAAGCGTTGTTCAGGTTAGCAGTGGATATTTTGGTAAAAGTAGCTGAGCATAGTTCGTCCTTCTGGTTCTTTTCGCCTGACAAGCTGGACTGGACATTCGGATAGAGTGAACAAAATGGCCGCCTTTATACACGACGGATTGAATATTCTACGTCTTCTGATTGGTTAACCTTCTATTGGTGGACTATAAAGTGAGTCAAGTCATTTGGACTAACTCACTAGTACATAATACCCCCAAAACTGTAACACCTGCAAAGAGTTAATAAGCTGTAGAAAATCCCATAAAGGTATATATTTTTGTTAATTGGTTCGACTTGTTTTTTCTTCTTTTTTTTTCTTCGGAAATAAAAGAGTATCAACTGAAGAAAATACATCCCGTTTTTCCATCCCATTTTACAATTAACGTGCTAAGATTTTGAATAAAAAAAAATCTACATACGTATCCTATAGATTAATTACTTTAAATTTTTTTACGGCTTACCAACCTTTTACAAGTTATGTAAAACATATTTTTTAAATTGTAAGAATTTTTGAGATAATAATGATTTACTGATACATGTCCTATTAATTAACCCATATCTAGGGGGAAGGAAGAGGAAGTAGATTCATACCTTTTCCGATTATTTGCACGTAAGTGAATAATAACGAAATCAACGGGAATTAGAACTCGACTCTCCGTTTAACAGTTCCGAGCAATTATCCAATAAAAAATGGCTTTAAATAACCTGGTGTTGTTCATGATGACGGTCGTCTTCGAGTATAGAATCCAGAGGTTAGCAGTGAATATTTCGAAGACCTTCTGTTTCTCTTCCACACATCCAAGCTTACAACACCTGGTATTCCGAAGCAGTCACCCATCTATGTACTCACCAGAGTAAACGTTGCTTAACTTCTGTCATCAATTTGGAACCGCTGTTTCAACGTAATGAGATCATAAGAATTCACGGTAGAGGTTTAATTTGAATGGGGGTATGAAGGAAACATGCGAACCCGACTGCGATTTGAACCCTGCCCTCCAGTTTCCAATTCTTAGCCGTTAGCCATTACATAGTCTGCACATCATGCTTACTGCACTTGGTGCTCCCAAGCGGTCACCCGTCTAGGTTCAATGTTACTTAATGTCGATGATCCTACGAGACACAGTGTTTCAAGTTGATATGGCTATAAGCATCGTATGATATTGAAAGAAAGTTTGAAATCAAGAATATGTTTATATATCTAAAGTTGTAGCCTCTGTCTGTCTGTTATCGAACTCATCCTAGGGTTTTAGAGATAGAACCTCATTACCGTATATATTCTGAAACTTCATTACTCAGGGTACTTGGATAAGTATATTTCATTTAAATCAAAGGGGTGGGTCAGGGGTCACAAACCCCCTAATGAAAGTTTTTTCCCCTTTGATTTAAATTAAAATTAAATTTGAAGAAGGGAATGAATCCTATCCAAAATATAAAAAGGTGAAAGTCAGAAGTTGGCGGTCACAAAGGCAAAATCAAAATGCGAC